AAAAAACATTGATGTAGGGCATACCGGGCAATTGTATACCGGACAGTGACACTTGACTAGACCAAGTATATATTTAGGACATCTACCACAACGACTATATATATATATATATATATATATTACAATTGTGTCCAATTTTTAAATTTAATCTACTTGAAGAAATTTCTGAATTGCTCTGAATCTGAGCGATTGCGAAGTTCGCTACTTTAGCTAAAGCATTTCTCCTGCTCTAGCAGTTTTCCAGTTAAATTACGGAGAAAAAAGAACCATATGTCCTTGCAGTGAATGCCCTATCAGACATAACAAAATGAAAATATTAAAATTATTTATTTATTTATTATTACTTTTTATGGGATGAATTTAAATATACACTGGTTATCATAAATTAAGGAAAAATCACAAAAATAGCGATAACTCTTTCAAAAGTAAGCCAANTTTGGAAACAAAGTGAAATTTAAATCCAGCTTTCCCAATATTTTTAGCTTCTTGGAAAACATCATGTAAATCCCATTCTATCAAAATCCTAACCAGGGGAATAAATAATAATCAAGCAATCTCCGCGACGCATGGTGAAGGTGAACGCTCCAGGAAAAATGACAAAAAATAACAACAATACATATTTATAAGATATTTTTTTACTTTTCTTAATATATAACATTAACTCATAATTAAACTTTGAATATAATTATTGTAAGATAGTGTATTATTTTCTCGCATTATAGAGGCAAATTTCATTTTAATGCTGTGAGTGTATGCAATGTTTCAATTCAGCCCCTTTTCTAAATTTCACCTTTTTATCGCAATTATGATTTTTATTGTCTTAAATTAATGATTATAAATACCCGAAAATCTCATCACAGTAGTGTTCTTGTTTTTTATCATAATATTAAATTTTTTTTGTGTGGTAAGTCTAAGATAGGGCGCATATATAAAGACTTAGGTAAGCACCTAAATCTATGTAAACCAAATTCTCACGCTAAGTCAGTAAACTTTACACGTCAATTGTGCATGACTTAATTCGAGGTTCGTGTGCGAGCGATTTTGCTGAGAATGACATAAAACCGAATTCTTTCCTTTTAACAGCGTGTTGGCGGCGTTTGGAGAGTTTCTCTTCTTCCTTGCAACCCTGTTCGCCAATTTCATGAGGGGTGAACTGAACAAAAGAGGAGAGAGAGGGAGTGGAAAAGCCGGTACATGGGGAAGAAAAGTGAAGATGCTTAAAATGATACAGAATGTTTATTGGCTTTGAATCCGTAAAATTCATACTGTTTTAAATGGAACAACATTAATTGAACGAGATTATAAATGACATAACTCAAGGTAACTCTTTACATCCTTCTTAACTCTGTTTCCTTCTTAATTTTTGTGTTATCGTTTGCAATTTTCACGAGGATACACTGTGAGTGGGTCTGTTCAAACGCAGTACGTTTCATGGGGGTATCCATGTGCTTATTGAATAGTGATTTTTTAACTATGAATTATTAAAAATTATATGGGATGCTCCTAATCTATAGAAATTTTATTTCCATACTAGTATTTGTTTAAAAATCTCCAGGGAAATATTATTATTAGTAAAAATATTTTTTATTTGTTATTTTAATTAAAGAATATTACATATTTATCAGGAAAACTTAAGTAATTCAGTGTGGGATTTTATAAATACTTTCAACATTTGTATAATTATGAGCACTTGGTTATTGGTCAAAAGAATCTCGAGACTTTCTTCTGTAATATTTTTTTAAATGCATTTAATAAAACTCACAATTTTAGGAATGTATTTTCGAAAGCAAAAAAAAAAAAAAAAAAAAAAAAAAAAAAAAAAATGTATTTCAAAATTCTATGTTATTTAATTTTTTTAATGTCGTTTATATAATTTAGCGTACATTATATATCACAATTTTGTGAAAATATGCATGTTATATATTTAAGTTTTAATGCTTTATTTCGAACAAGTTTTCTTTTCTAATATGAAATTATAAAGGATAAATAAATTTTTTTTTCATAAACAAGACTTGAAACATTTAATATAAATTTTTTTCTTTATCTAGATAATCTCATAAATGTCAAAGAATTTCTTTCAGTATGTAAAGCATAGTTTATGAAATTACGTGGAAATCTTAGTTTCCTTTTCAGTTTAAAAATAGAATAAATATAAGCAATTAATAATGTAATAAATTGCCAATTATATTTAAAAATACTTTTTTGATCACATATTTTTTTTGTATAAAATGTTTTATTTTATTGAACACGTTTTTGCATGCAGATTCTTTATTTGACACATAATGACGAACTACATATTTTTATATCGAATTAATTTGACACTTGTTTCTAATTTACCTAACAAATCATTTTTGTCACTGTCATTGCATCAATTAATTCTTTTTTGCTGCCTGTTTTATATGTTAATTAAAATAGTCTATTAAAAAATACACTATGAAAAAATTCTGAAGGAGACTAATACGCGGGAAATTTACGTTTACTGCGTTCGTCAAATATTTATTTGACAAATTTTAATCACGTAACGTTTTCCGCATTAAAATACTTAAAGATTTAGACGACACGAAAATTTTATGTGTCCTTGCTGACAAACACAAAAGAAATTAATAAACCAAAATGAGTTTTTAAATTTAGAGACAATATTTTTTTTAAGTTGATTCACAATTGAACAATAACTATTTTATTTAAGTAAATCATATTTATACAAGTTAAAGCAAAAAAATTTCTTTAGCTTTTAATTGTAATTTCCTAAAACAGTTCTTTTTCTTTTTTTCAAAAAAAAAATCACAAGCGTGATAATTTCTATAGTTTTTAACAAAAACTCTGAATTTATTATTTAATTAATCCGAAAATTGCAAATGCAGTAAAAAAAAAATCCTATTTGCACTGAAAACTAAATTGATCACTACCCGGTAGCAGAATCAGCTTGTCACGGCGGCGGGCGCTACAAATATTTTTGCCATTGTAGACAAAAATTAACCAAATTTTAAAAGAAATGAACATCACTATTTTTTTTAAATTCATGTAGAGTTTTGTTATTTTTAAAGATTAAGAATGCTTTATGCTTCATTTACTTACTAACTTTATTTACCCATCGCTTAGATAATTTTCTGAAATTTTATTCTTAATGATGAATCATTTTAATAAGTTGAAAATAATTTGAATCAAGAAGATTTTTCATTTAAATTTGACAGCACTTATCTTTTTTCCGCTAATAAATTTCTAGCTAATAAAGTTTCAATTAATTAAAGTACTTTTATTCAGTAGTGCAGTTACTTGTAGTAGTAAACATACTTGGTTTTTAAAATTTGAATACTTGCAAAGTGCAATATTTCAATACAAATATTTTACCGCACGTTCGGCAGATAAATTTTAGAATTTTTCTATAGAATTTAAATACCTGCTAAGTGCAATATTTCTAAACAAATACTTTATCGTACGCTCGGCAGATAAATTTTAGAATTTTACGATAGTGTTGCAGATGAATATACATGTTTCTTCTAGATGCAAGATTATAAATTTTTAAGCAAGAGAGTTTAAAATTAGAGAAGTTCTGCAAATATGAAAAACATTGTTGTCTGAAAACACTAATTGTAGTTTATGGAATCGTACTCAAAATACAGAAAGCGCAGAGTCTTTTTCAGTTCAATGAATTTTAATTAGAACTTTTGGGTTGTACTTACATATTTCAATTTTAAATAAGCCAAAAACGGCAATTAAAGTTAATATTTAATCATAAGTTTGCGTCTTAAGTTTGCATCTTTTATTACATTTGTTATACATAACGACCGCAAAAGCACGCGTAGTATTTTAGGCACACAGACCAGATTTAGCATTTTTTTAATTTTTTTAATTTTTTTTTTTTTATCATCCACAAGTGAAATGTTTTAGATTTTTACAATTTCTTCGTAAACTATATAGTTCGATTGTGGGTAACATATAGATGGATTAAGCAACATTATTTATAAATTAGAATAAGATTAAAAATAAAATTTTCGTTAAACTGTAGTAAACAGCTACGACATAACAACTTAATCGGAATAATCAAGGCGGAAAAATTGAGTTGCGGATTTTATAAAAATATTCTCTTTGACTGGGCAGCTGTCAAACTTGTGTTTAAAAATTAATTCAAGTTATTATCATTCTCTTTGTCTGTATATTTTTGTAGTAAAAAAAAATCGCAAAATATTTTCGTGGTAATGCATTTCAAGAATTTTGGAAATTCCTTACTTTAAGTACAAAGCTATGCTATGTATGGCATTAAAATTGATACTTAGTTTTATTTTTTTAATTCTTGATATAAGTGTTTTGCATATGATATACTATGTAATTTTGCTAAAAATCCTACCTCTAAATTATGAAATGTTGTTTTAATGTAAAACTCTTTTAATATATTGGGAAAATTTTGAGCACTTATTACATTGACCATATGAATAGAGTAAAAAGCTTGTAATAAAATTAGTAATCAATAGCTTTTATTTCCCTTTCATTAAAGAAGAACAAAACATTAAATTAACCTAATAAAATAAATGAAAATGCGCTTACTCTGTCGATAATCATGACTAATATTTCATTCAATTGATGTTAAGAGGCCTCTTCCTTTCTGACTGAGCTTAACAGCCAAAGATGTGTAGATGGATGGGGAAAATAATATTGATTTTAATCATCTTTATCTAATTTTCACAAATAAACTGATGATAAATATTAATTCTGCATCGCAGTATCTTTTGATACATATAGGGTGTTTAAAAATAAGACAGACGAATTCAGAGGGGGACAAAAGGTATAAAGAGGATGAAAATATACCATGGAGCACTGGGTCAAAAACCACGTTGAGATGAGGGGGTGAAAATCACGAAAAACGCACACAGGCTCTGAATCTAGAGGATACGAAAGGTAGATGTCAGTTAAGGTTTGCCCTACCTAAATTACTCCGAAGGATCTCATTTCGCGGATTATCATCCCTTCGGTAGACATCAGAAGCACAGCTTCATGCACCTCTGAGAACCGTTTTTACGTCGTTGTAACTATGCAATGATGTCGGCGGGCGCCACTTCAAACAACTTTTATAATGATTAATCAAACACATTTTTTTTTGTAGCTAGCAAGTTTAGAGAATATTTTGCAATGGTCTTCCAGTGTGACGTCGAAACGTGCATGAAGTTTTCGCGATTTTCACCCTCAGAACCGTGATTTGTGATCCCATGTGCTATGGTATGTTTACATTTTCTCAAGAGAACGCCGTACCATGGGAGAAGCTTTTACTCGCAAATTCGCTGTCACCTCCATTACTATTTTAAAATTAAAAAGAACGAAGTGAGTCCTAGCAAACCTAGAGTAAGCATCAAACATCAGTAAGCTGGTGCGTGACCACCTTGATCAGCCTACTTAGTGACCGAGGGTGCACGGTATTGGACCTCGTTAAACTGTTTCACCGTAAAGTGCTCGACTTCGCTCTCAGATCGTTAGGCTACCAAAGAGGAGGAACCATCCCCTCCGCAGAGAATTTCAATGGCATATCTTCGGATCATCTTCAGTGATGTTTCCCATACCATCGTCAATAACCCATTGTACAGCTCTTGTGCGACGTAAATAAAATACCTACCTCAAATGTGAGAGAAAATTCGAGAAGCCATAAAAGTTTAAAAATTATCACGTGCTTTACACTAGACACCATGGAATTGAGCTCTTAACAGGCTATCGACTAAACTCAATCGTTAAAGCGGAGTAGACGGAGAGAAAAATTATGAATATGCTTTTAGTTTTCTTTATTTAATAAAATGGTGTAAGTGGCAGTATCTTTCGAAACTTGTAAAGTACAACGCGTCTTCAAAGTTGATGGGAGAAAATATAGCTTGCGTAAGTCTGGAGTTAGAATTTTAATTTTTTTTCTGGAAAAATTATACCCGCACAGTACTTTTTTGAATGGTTGTTTAGTATTATGCATTTGTCTGTTTTTCGATTTTTGATATCTTTTTCTCCATAATAAACATTAATAAGATTTTGCATAATAAGAATTTTTCAGATTCGTCCGACTCTGTCTTCGTCTACTTCAAAAATAATGAGAAATAAATTTTAGAAAAAGTCTAAACACAGGCTAATGTACAGAATTAAAATATAGTTTTTTTTTTCTTTTTTGAAAGGTAGTTTAGTATAAATTTGTTTGTTTTTGATTTTTGTTCCGTGGCTCAGGAGTTAAAGCGATTGCCTTTCAATAAAGTGACTGGGTTCAAATCCCAGCAATGGCGGGTCGATACGAATTCCGCATCCGGCTAGCACGAATCATAGTTCTGACGTCAAATATCCTCAGTGGTGGACGGATC